TATAAAGTGCATCTGGGCACTGCCTTCTGCCGCAGCTCTCACCTGGCCCCCGTCCAGAACTGTCAGGCTGCTCCGTGTGCCAATGATCCATACCCCAGCACCCTTTTATCTGAACATTGCAGTGTCTCTTCTTTGTACTTTGGCAGTGATGTTACCTTGATGTTCAAAATCTTTTAAAAGCAACACAGGCTTTCTTTACGTCTTGACAAATCGTTGTCTGCCAGTAATGAAGAAAAAGTAAACCCGTGATCATTGTAAATACAAAGAAATAAACACTTCGAGGGTTTTTTTGTTCTTGTTCAAAAAATAGATATTTGTGCATTTGGGGATCCTCTAACTGAAGCATGAATATTCTGATCATCTTTGTTCTTTCCCTTATATACCTCAGCAAGCTGATTTTCACAAGCTTAGGTCAGATGGCATTTCAGTGGGCCATGTGATATATAAGGATAGAATTTTAAATTTTTGTTTGATTTTCTTTCTTTTGGGATTTTGAGGGGGGAAAGTAGATACTGTTATATCTGTTGTATGTTCTTACTGCTGTTGCTGTTAAATTCGGACTTTGCTGTTTACTTATTTAAGTATGTTTATAATAGGACCGGCCCTGTAGCTTTGTAGTTTAGGGGAGTCAATCCTACATGGTCTATCACATAGCTTGAATCCCAGCTCTGATAGCTTGAAAAACACACCAGATGCATGTATATGCATGCCCCAAATTCTGATAAGATGGAAACAAGGAGAAGGAATTACACCCCCAATGCGGGGCAGCAGGGGTTGGGGGGCTTCCTCCCTCTCTTTGTATCTCTCTCTTTTTGGTATGTGCCCTCTAGCAAACTAGAAATAAAATATGTCTTAATATATATTTTTTTTTGAGAGGTTTTTGCTGTAGGGTGCATGCGCTTACCAGACAGACAGAGAGACATAGAGACAGAAAGCGAGAAATCACCCCCCGGGGGGATGGTCACGCCGCAGTCCCTTCTCCTCCATTCTCCTCTCAGGATCTTGGGCACGCATGCACATGCACCCGGCGTGAGTTCTAAGCCACCGGGTCTGGGACATGAACCGCGGTTTACTGCGTGGGAGTCTAGCGACATAGCCATTACGTGAACTGCTGGTTCCCTGTCTTAATATATCTTGATACTAACAGTACTTTATATTCATACATCTCTATTCATGTATTTCTCACCTGAGGCTAAAGCAGCCATGTAAGGCTATCCCTGCGTGTTCTCATTATCACTCCAACTTACATCTGAGGAAACTGAGGCACAGGATGATTTCTGACTCTCCCACTCAGCCAGATCCACTCCTTAAATTAGGCCTGCTCACCCAAAGTGAGTGCTGCTTGCACTTTGTTTTGTTTTCTTTTCTCTAGGGAGAGAGATTTTTGCTGTAGTGTGCATGCCCTTGCCGGAGACACAAAGAGAGACGGCGAAAAATCACCCCCTAGGGAGGAAGGCCACACACAATCCCTTCTCCTCCATTCCTCTCAAGATCTTGGGCATGCACACACACACACCCCCGGTGTGAATTTAAGCCACTGGATCAGGGACTCGAACAGCAGTCAACTACATGGGAGCCCAGGGAAGTAAGCACTAAGACATCTGCTGGTCCCTGCCTGCACTTTTTATAGTGTTTTCTGTCAGAAGAGAATCCCGGCATTGTCACTGAGTACTTAGCATCCAGGGGAAGGCGGTCGTATTTCTACCGGGGTTAACATTGGTCACAACAAGCAGTGGAGGTCACTGCTATTTTTGTGTACTGTGTGTGTGTTTTATTATTTTTAATAATTATTAATTTTATTTATTATATTATTTTTTAATTTGCTATAGGACATGCGTGATCACCAGAAAGAGACAGATAAAGTGAGAAAGCAAGCTGCTATGTCTGGGACTCGAAATGGTTGGCCATGTGGGAATCCAGTGCCTTAACCACCGTGCCACCTGCTGGCGCCATATGCTATGTTGTAAGAATACTGGGAAGACAGAGGTGGATTGAGAAACTAATAGGGCCAGCCAGTGGCGTATAGATTAAGGCACTGGAGCTCACATGACTGACTGTGGAGTTCAAGTCCTAGAACTTGCAGCTCGAAAACGGGCCAGGTACATGTGCGTGTGCGCCCGAAATCCCGAGAGGAGAATGGAGAAGGGATTGTGGTATGTTCTTCCCCATTGGAGGGTTATCTCTCACTTTCCCTCTGTCTTTCTTTCTGTCTCTCTTTCTCTCTGTCTCTCTTTCTCTCTGTCTCTCTGGCACACACAGCCCCATAGCAAAAACAAAAAAGGAACTATTGATAGAACCATGAGGAGGTTGAGAACTATGCCAGAAAAAAACAGAGGAATGAGTATTTTCATGTCGGGAGGAAGGACACAGAGATATGGCTGGACATCGGATATTTTCTGTACTATTCTGTGGAAGAGAATTAGATTTGCTCTTTCTAATTCCAGGCAGCACAAATCAGCTCACTGCATAGAAATTACCCAGAAGCAGATTTATGCTCAATATGAGGAAACTTCCTAACATTTAGAGATGTCCAAAAATGGAACAGACTCGCTCACTATCACCAGGAAGTACTCACACGGAGACCGTTCAGCTCAGACTGTACGACTTTATGGATGTTGTATTTCAGCAGTAACACAGTTTTATGATGAGCCTTCTGCGGGCTCAGAGAATTTCCTTCCTAGCTAAAAACAAAAGGGTCTTGTGGGCTTTTCCACCATGACTTTAGACTGAGAAATTGTATCTGTAACAGTTCCTGCTTCACATGTCACTGTGTCCTGGAAAATACCTTTCAGCAGATGAGGAAGGACACGCAGTTAAAGCAGATGAGTGCGATTCTTGTAAGGTGAGGACTGAAGCAGACAGTGTCTGCAGTGGGGGTGGCATGTGTGCATGCGTGCGCTTTAACTGTTTCAGGGTGCATTGCCATGGTTTGTGCTATTGTTTTCTGGCTTGTCACTTCCACTACTCCCAGTCCTGTCCTAGAATGCGACTTACACAGTTAAAAGAAAAGGACAGGCGGCATTGGCATGGCAGGAACACCGTGCCCTATGCTGCTAGGCCATGCAGGAAGGTCCTCGATCTGTGTCAGGAGGTCTCCCTATACATGCTGGGTGATCTGGGTCAGCTGAGGCTCGGTGGTTTGCTGCAGTTTGGGGTTCCTGTAGCTCTCTCTCCTACTCCCTGTTCCTCTGTCATAGAAGTAAATACATAAACATATTAATTAATTAATTAAAAGAAGGCTCAGCCACAGTAGCTTGTGCTGGTTGACATCGCTACTCGGCAGGCTGAGGCCACATAGGAGGTGCAGGTTCGACTCCAGGCTAAGTGGTACTCTCCTCAGTCCCAGCTACTCCAGAGACTGAGGCAGGAGGATTATGACATAGAATGACCCTGTCTTAAGAAGTTCTCTTGGGACCAGCATGTGGCATAATGGCTATGTCACTGGACTCCCATGTTCGAGTCCCGGACCCGATGGCTTAAACTCACGCCGTATATGTGTACTTGCGTGCCCAAGATCCCAAGAGGAGAATGGAGGAGAAGGGTTTGTGGCATGACCATCCCCCCTGGGGATGTGATTTCTTACTTTCTGTCTCTCTGTCTCTGTCTTTCTAGAGAGTGCACATGCCCTTATAGCAAAAACCTCTCCAAAAAAAAAAAAAGTTCTCACTTTCTCTCTCTCTGATGAGTATAGCAAGTTAAAATAACAAGTAAATAAATAAAAGAAAATAATTCTTTTTAAAAAGAGAGGACTAGCTGGTGGCATGGTAGTTAGGACACTGGACTCCCCCATGGCTGACTGTGGTTCAAGTCCTGGGCCTGGCAGCTTGCTTTCTCACTTTTCTTCTCTCTGTCTCTCTGTCTCTTCCTGATGACTATGGCAAGTTAAATGATAATAAATTAGATAATTCTTTTAAAATAAGAAGGAAAAAATGAAATTGGGGTAATCGTCATTCTTAAGTGGTTGCGAGCTTCTTAATGTGGAAGTAGGGGGCTGAAATACTAATGCGCTAAAATGTGCATGTGACAGAAGCCGATCTGCTTAGAAGACACAGAGCTGAGATCCCGTCTCCAGCGTAGGTCTGGCTCCCTCGCTCACCGCTTCATCTTTATGCCTTCCGTTTTGATTTTCCTCTGAAATAGAAGTGATGTTTTAGGAATTTCCTTTCTAACTTTAAGATGTTAGGATTCTAATTCTCCCAATTTTATGACTCTAATTCTCCACATTTGCATAAGAAGTTGAAAAATGGCCTCAATTATAGCAAAAACAATGGCCATTTATTGGTTCTCTAATTTACTCATTCATTTATTCAGAAACATTTATGAAGTGGAACACTATTTCTGAAATGCACAAACTTTGCTGTAATATACTTAAGTTTAAGAATGAAAGAAAGAAAGGAGGAAACAGCAAATCGTCACCCCCATACAGCTCCTTGTATTGAACAAGGGATAATTTAATATAATCCTTAAAATGAAATCCACGCACTTTATTTGTAGTTCTTTTGAAAGAAATAAAATAGGATGCCTCTGTAAAATGCCTTTTTAGTGCTCAGATTTGGAACTACAACATTTCAAACCATGCCCCAAAACGGGATGCCTTTCAATTAAGAACTTCTTCTATGAAGACCTTTAGGCCTGGAATTTTTTTTTTTTTTTTTTTTTTTTTGGAGAGGTTTTTTCTATAGGGCACGTGCACTCGCCAGACAGACAGAGAGAGACATAGAGACAGAAAGCGAGAAATCACCCCCCAGAGGGGATGGTCATGCCGCAATCCCTTCTCCTCCATTCTCCTCTCGGGATCTTGGGCACGCACGCACACGCGCCCGGTGTGAGTTTAAGCCACCTGGTCCGAGACTCGAACCACGGTCAACTACGTGGGAGTCCAGCGACATAGCCATTACGCTAACTACTGGTCCCATAGGCCCGAATTATTAAAGCGCCGATGCCAAGCAGAAAGCCCTGCGTCTCTGAATGATCTCATCTTGTTCTTCCTTTTCCAACAGATTCCAGAGGGGTGACTACCACATCGACGTCTGCATCAACGACTACCTGGATGTTTTCTGCCCTCACTATGAGGACTCTGTCCCAGAAGATAAGACTGAGCGCTATGTCCTCTACATGGTGAACTTTGACGGCTACAGTGCCTGCGACCACACTTCCAAGGGCTTCAAGAGATGGGAATGTAACCGGCCCCACTCTCCAAACGGACCCCTGAAGTTCTCTGAAAAGTTCCAGCTCTTCACGCCCTTTTCCCTGGGATTTGAATTCAGGCCAGGCCGGGAATATTTCTACATCTGTGAGTATACGGGGATTTATGGTGTCGTAGGGCAGCTGCAGGAGCCCAGACTGATTTTTTTCGCCATGTTTCCGAGAGCTGCAGAGAGCTGGCCTCGGGATTACAGATGTCTCCTTGTAAATGCATACATCAGAATCCCTAGGTGCATTAGCTGGGAGATGAGAGCACAAATTAGATTAAGGATGCAGCGCCTCTCGCCCTATGAAATTGGGCATCAGCCTGTTCCGTGAACCACTGCTGACTTGTATTTCTTTTAAATGAAAATTGCCAGGACTCCTCCAAAGCCCGGGAAAAGAAAAAGAAAAAAAAAAAAAGATTCCTGAAAAAAATTAAGGGGAATAATTAAATTTACATAGCTTGGAGTCATTGGATTTCTTATTCAGGTGTCAGCAATATCCTTTCAATCATCCACACTTTCAGTGGAGAGAGCCAAAACTCCTGCAAATGTCAGCATGCGCACGATAAATACTCTCTTTGCGCCAAGGAGAATAGGCAATTATTAAGAGCAGCTGTGTCTTTAAGCAGGCGAGAGTGTGAAGAAGTATCTAGAAAGGGTTCCAAGGGGAGCTGTGTGAGTGGGTTTCCCACCTGTGAGCGCCGAGTGATCGTGGGAGCGCTCTCTGCAGCCCTCGTAGTCATCAAGGGGCATGGCCTTGTTTCTTCTCTGTTACATACAACATCCCCCCGCCCCCGCCAGGCATCATGTCATATACGTAAGCGCTTCTCAAATTTTCAGTGCCTGAGAGTCATCTGAGTACCTTGCAACATTGGTTCCAAACCAGGAGTGGGGACCAGCAGCTGGTGTAATGGCTATGTTGTTGGATTCCCATGTAGTTGACTGTGGTTCGAGTCCTGGATCCAGTGGCTTAAACTCACACTGGGTGTGTGTGCATGCGTACCCAAGATCCCGAGAGGAGAATGGAGGAAAAGGGATTGCGGCATGGCCATCGCCCCTAGAGGGTGAATTCTCGCTTTCTATCTCTCTGTCTCTCTCTGTCTTTCTGGAGAGCACCAGAGGGTGTGGGCAGAGCCTGAGACTGCATGTTTGCAAAGCTCCCAACACGGTCGCTCCTGCTGACCTCGAACCACACCCTGAGCAGCAAGGGTACAGGCAACACCCAGGTTAGGCAGCCTGCTCTGCTTCCCTTTGTTCTCTCTGTAGTAGTATTTTTTAAATACAACTTTTTATTTTAGAGGTTTTTGCCTTAGGGCGTGTGTGCTCACCAGAGAGAGACAGAGACAGTGACAGCGAGAGGGAAAATGAGAAGTCACCCCCCAGGGGGAATGGCCACGCTGCAATCCCCTCTCTTCCATTCTCCTCCTTGGACACACATGCACACGCACCCAGTGTGATTTTTCAAGCCACCGGATCCAGGACTCGAACTTCAGTCATCCAGTGACATAACCACTGCACCACCTGCTGGTCCTTTAATAGGACTTTTTAAAGTTGATTCATTTAATTTTTTCCATGAGAGAGATAGCACCCCCAATCGGGTCTTCATGTCGTGATCCACTCCCTCTCTCGGCCAGCACGCACATGTGCCTAGCATGTTCAGGGAGGTCCCATGATGTGAACCCAGGACCTTCCTATATAGGTCCAGTTGCGTTACCACTGAGCCACCACCTGGCCCTGGACTTTCCTTTAACTATTACTAGTATCAAATACTTCAACTTTCTGGCCTTCCTCTTTGTATTTTCACTGTCAACCAAAGGAGTTCAAAGTTTGTTCAAAAGTGTGTTTATTAGACAGCTTATCTTGGCTCAAAAGTCTTGGGGCTATGCAGGAGGAAAAGGCACATCCCATGCTTAGGGAGTGACCTTCTAGTGGGGAGCAGACATGGGAATGAGCAATTCGAGTGTAATGAGACAGTGGCCGAAGGACGATCAATGCAGGGGACGGGGGAATGAGGGGGAAGGTGTGCCTCCCCTACTCAGAAGAATGAGAGCTCCAGGTATCAGCCCATATGATCAGCCTCAGTTCTCACGGCTTGCAGACAAGCAAGATAAAGAACATTCCACATTCCTGTTTTTCTGATTCATTTCTTCAGTCTGAATATTCCCACCCACTCATTCCACGTGGTTTAAATCTGCAGAGATTTCCAGCTTCTCTCCTTCTCAGTAATAAGTCGATTTCACCATCACCAGGGCGCCTTCACTTCTATTGGAAGTGAATTTAAAAAGGAAATTGAACAGTACCAGTTTTATTATTTCAGTACATATTTCAGTCATTAGTCATGAGAAAACGTGGGAAAGTCTTGATACTATCTCGCATTCGATCCATAAAATAAGAAAAGGAATATTGAGTCCCACAGACGCAGGAAACACTGGCATACGGAGAATTCACACATTCGCAGGCGCATGTTCCTGACTTGTGCTGATTTTTTACTTGGTGAAATGATCCCGTTCGGCAAATGAGAAGTAGGAAAGAGGAGGTCTTCAGTTGTGGGACAGATCCCCTTAATTGCCTAACTGGAAACTGCTGTACCAATGGAAGACAGAATTATTGGTGGCTTTGAAATTTTCTTATTGGCTTCTCAGATTAGGAAACAACAACAAAAGCAAAAACCAAAAATGAATGGAGACTCCAAGGTGGGACGCATACCCACCAGCTAAGTCGTTGATTGCATGATTATTAGAAATTACAGAATCCATTGAGGTTCATAAGCAAGATGTTATTATTCAGATATACCCATAGTGCTTATGACTGGTTTTTCCTCATTTGTGGTTAAATTCAATATTTCAGTAAAAATCATTATGTGTCTTCTATAACATTCATTTAACGGAGTCATTTAACTGTCAAGGGCTCCCGTCAAAGTAATTGTTCCAAAATGCTTCAAAATATCAAGAGCTTTTTGCTGTTCAGCTGAGTTTAACTTGAATTACTTTTTTAAATGAAAGGTAAAGTAGCACAAAATTAGCAGCAAAGAGATGTTCATTTACAAGAAGCACAGTAGCCCGGTATTCGGTTAAATTGAATTTTCAGCCATGTTTTTGACCCACAAAAGCATCCCTCCCTGTCTTTTCAGGAGTAAAAGGGTTTTCTTACTCACACCGCTCAGAGCAGAAGTGGCGTAGAGAACATGAACATCTTAACAGACATTTAATGTACTGTGGTCATAATTAAACTAGAGGATTCTTAGGGGAGGATTGGCCCTCAGTTGAATTATCCTGTCTTCTAATATGCATGGAATGAACAAGATGATTGGGAAATGGCTCTTTGCACACTCACCACGTTGTGAGAAGCTCTGTTGCCCATCTCAGGAACAAGCTTCGCTGCCCACCAGCCGGTTGTACAAAATGTTCCTACCAGGACAGGAGTGCATTTTAGCTCCACACAGTATGAAAATCTCTTCTGACTTTTCCAAGAATAAAAAGGAAGAAGAAAGGCATAGCCTTTGGGCCGTCTTGATGGAGGGTGTTAGGGACAGGCTCGTATTTAGTGTTAAGGGTAGAGTGGCCATTGTCAGATACAAACTCGTATTTGGGGGAAAGGGAGACAAATACAGACAGTCCCTGAGTTTTGATGGTTCAATTTATGATGTTTCCACTTAAAATGGTGCAGAAGCCATACATATCCAATAGAAAGTGGACTTGGAATTTTGAGCTTTGACCTTTTTCCAAGCTAGTGACAGATAGTAGGATGCTCTCTCAGGCTGGGCCGCCATTATGAGCCACAGATCCCGTTCAGCTAGGTGTTACTGTCCAAGGTTAGCGCAGGCCAAGCAGCGGTGTTCGGCAGGTCAGGTGTGGTAAGTGCATTTTCAATGTACGGTATTTTTCTGCTTATGGCGAATCAATCAGGGCATAACCCCCTCCTAAGTCAGGGGGCATCTATATTTCATTACAGGGTGTTTACCCCTCAATCAGACTCTGGACACTAGTGAAAGAATTCTTAACAAGTTCTGCTTTATCCATAACAAAATATAGTTGTTCTTAATTTTTTCCAAGTTATATAAAATTAGAAATATGTAGTAGTTGGAAATATTCTATATGAAGTTTCCAATTGACTTTAAAAATAAAACCTTTTTCACAGTTCTAGAGCCTTTATTCATCCAAAGAAAACTATCTGTGCTGTTTTCCTTTCCTTGGGAACAGACAGCATATTAAGTTGTTATAATTGCTGATTATTGGCTAAGGCGGACCAGGGCCATTTCTGAATCTGACAAATACTGTTTTTAACGTGCAGAAGTTATTTTAGTAAAACATCGGCATACAGAGTAACTCTCAGTGCTAGATTTGCAGAACTGCCATTTAGTTGATTAAGGCAATAGTCTTTTAGATAGACTTCCTAAAGGAAAGAGTAATTTTAGAAACTTTGAAAATATTCATTTTAGAAATGATTCTCATAAATATTAACCTAATGAGACTATGTTTGAAAGAAGTTTTGCTGTTATTTTTAAATCTCAAGAGGTAAAGAGAAATCATTTAAACAAGAGCACTATAAATTATCTCTGTAACTCCATAAAAGAAATGAGTTTGGGATGTATCTCTTGTAAAGTGAAGAAGAGTTGAGATCCTTATCTTGGTCTGACTGACTACATGGCCTTGAGTAAGTCATTGAACCCCTCTGAAGTTCGAACTCCGTGTCTGTAAAATAACGTGGCTGTCGCTGATCATGCCACAGTTCTCGGGGAGCTTTCCCATCCTAATCTTGTTTCTGAGGGCCTGAAGCCAGAGGGGAGAGACAACAGCTATACAATGACCGCACCCCACACCTAACTGAGTATTTATAGTATTCCATAAATGCCAGCTAAGGGGACATCTTGGAGACAGTGAGGAGTGGAGAGGCATGTTCAAATTGCTGAGGTCGTTCTCCCCGAGTCCCTGTCCACGCCACCATCATCCATGGTCTCCATGAGGGCAGTGGGCTCTTCTCTTTCCCGCACCCTGGCCGCTGCTCCGTCACAGCCCTCCAACGACTTCTATCTCACCAGACAAAAACCCAGAGTGCTCTTCTCTGCCCACCCTTGTCTCTGACGTCCTCTCCTGTCACCTGTTTT